TTGAATAAACTATATTTTAATTAATGGGAATTTAAATTTACAATTATTAATAAATCGTGAGAAGAGAATTATTATATTTTGAGTGGAATGAAATTTACTGGTGGAATTGGCCAAAACACAGATTCTAATTATGGTTGTGAAGAGTCGAAATTTGGGGAGATATGTAAGTTCTCCAATTTTTCGCAGTTTAGCAAATATGAGTAACAAGGGTAATCAGCATCTCAGATAATACCTTCCACACCTCAAATTTACATAAACTATCAAAACTGTTCATCAATAATGGTTATCCGAAGTGTCTGATTAACAAGATCTTATTTAGTTCTCCTTCCAATATTTTGCCGAACTCTGGTGATGCAAGTAATAGTCGCACAACCCCTAATAACGGAACTGATGTAATTCCCAATAATAACATCAATCCTAACAGTACAAACACCAACCCGGACTCCAGACCTGGTTTTGCTGTCCTGCCCTATATCAAGGAACTGACCCCTAAGCTGATCAGATAGTGCAGTCCTTTGAACTTTCGAATTGCTTGCTTAACCAACACAGTCTACTCCATCAATTGCAACAACTGCAACCAAATATACATAGGTCAGACCACCAGATCTCTTAAAGGGAGGATTACATCACACAAAAGTGATGCTAGGCTGCATCCTGAAAGATGCGCTCTAGCATCTCATGTTAACACAACAGGGCATTCTATGAATTACACAAGTATCAAAGTTCTTGATAAAGAAAAACACCTTTCCCAACGTTTATTCCTGGAAATGTCCCACATCTTCATGAATAACAACTGTATCAACAAAAAGACAGATGTTAAACAACTGAGTGTTATTTACTCATATTTGCTAAACTGCGAAAAATTGGAGAACTTACATATCTCCCCAAATTTCGACTCTTCACAACCATAATTAGAATCTGTGTTTTGGCCGATTCTACCAGTAAATTTCATTCCACTCAAAATATAATAATTCTCTTCTCACGATTTATTAATAATTGTTAATTTAAATTCCCATTAATTAAAATATAGTTTATTCAACTGCCTCTGGTCGGTTTAACAAATTCTTACATAAAATTCTGAAAATCACATCATCTGAAGTGATTTGGCAACGTTTGGCACACGCCCACAATTCGTTCCATCTTTCAACACAGACATTGACATCCTTCGGTCTTCTGTCAAAGGGTTTCATCTCACTCATTATTCCATGACCACTAATTTGTGCAATCATCAAGTGGCTTCACGATGTAATGCTCTAATGTTTTTTAAGTAATTTTTAATCTGTTTTTAACTTGTTCTTGTCATATTTTATATAATTTTGACCATTGTACAATCTATCCAGCTCTCACCATGTTACTGGACGTTTCCCTCATCCTATACGTAAACAACAATTAGCAACATCCTCACATACTACTGTAAGTTGAGTCAATTTAAATTCATTTTACACTTTTGTTGCTACTGTTATCATTGTAATTGCAGCTCCTGATGATGATGGCAAAGTCCATTGAAAGCTAGAGAGAATTAAAAAAAGTATAAAGAGTCCTCTTTGCTTAAATTTTGTCGAAGTACCCAACAAAAGGCGGAAGCTTTAATTTTTCACCTAACTGGTCTAGACGACAATGACCACGTCTCAAGTTATATACGAGTATATATATATATATATAGATATTTTGTCTTGCTCTGTTTCTACTGAAGTTTCGTAAATCAAATACTGTCATGTCCCCACAGGAAATGTGTTTTCAGGTTGGAGGAAGACAACAATTGTTGTGACGATATCAAGTACAAAAGACAAAACTTAAATGCATTAAATCCAATTTAGGCAATTCATCGTCTTTCTAAATTTTAACGCGTCTTAGGCCCGTATCGTCACCTACGCGCCCTACAATTGTAGGGCGCGTTTATGGCCTCCTTGATTGTCGTACTCCTTTCCCTTCTTCGAAAATTTCTAGATTACACTTATTGTGAAGGTATGTTTTCTTTTTAAATTGTAGGAAATTTCAGGCTGATAAAACATGGTATAACTCAAAAGCAAGCACAATTTGATGCAAATAGATGTTTGTGAGATAACCTCAAAATAGAGCGCTGACAGGGAGAAGTAGAAAACTATGACAATCAAGGAGGCCATAAAGGCGCCCTACAATTGTAGGGACGACTGACGATACGGGCCTTGGGGCCGTAGTGCTGTAGTGACACTTTTCCGGATATGGGTCCCATACTCAAATGCTTTCCACTGTTACACTGAATAACCCCTACAAGTTTGATCCCGTAGTTCATATATATATATACATATAATTGACATGGTCAAGTTTAAGTAATTTTGAAAAAACTAATATCATTATAGTTGGCTTTGAAAATGACAGCTTATCACATGTTTGTCCGATTAAATCACCAATACTTCAATTTCTGAGAAGCGTGTTTGAAGGACATTCAAATAATAATTTGCATGTTTATAGACTATTTTAGCATGATGAAGGTGATCTACATGACACCTCAGGCGTAGATTAATGGTATATGAATGCAAGATGTGTGCATCGGCTTAGATATGAGAGATATGAAATGTGTTTAGGAAGGTGCGACTTACTACAAAATGTTAAATAATATAAAAAGTTTTAGCATTACGTTGTTCTTTATTTGGTGAGTTAAGACCAATATTACTTTTTAAGATATTTGAAGTATCATAGTACCAATCCATGTTATGATATTGTATATCACATCGTTAAAATCGGAAATAGAACTGTTCACCTATGTTTGGCTGTTGACAGTATGCAGTAAATGACTATCTGATAATGTCAAGACCCACTTAGGAAATTTTGTTTTTGGAGGTGACTCAGGTTCGGCAATGTCACTGTATGACACATTATACATCTCTGGAATCATGATTAAACACTCTATTCACCTATGCCAATATCCAATATGACGTCTATAAGGAAACCTAAAGTTGGTGAATCAAGGAGCGTGTCGCGATATTGCAAACCTAATTATGCCAACTTGTGGAGAAGAAAACGTGAAAATGTTAGTGTTTTTTTTTTAATTTTAAAACCTTATTTCCAGTAAACTCATTAAAAAATCAATCATCGATTTTCCTTTTCTGTCGTCTATACAGGGTGACTTCGAAGTTGAGTCATTTATTTTAACAGTGAGTAGATCTGATCAAAAGAAATGTTTTTTTCCTTTACTATTTTTCTGGTAAAATTAAAGTAACAAAGTTATAGCCCTTTGGAAGTTTGAGTACCGCCCTGTCTCAATAATAATATCATGTACTCGTGTTTGGCAACAACGGATATAATCCGCCTTACCGGTTCATCGCATCGGAAACAAAAAAGCGAAAGAATTTGGAACTATGTTTTTGCAATTAAGTATTTTATTCAGTTCAGTTATACATACAGTCAGTGTCTGTCGGTTAGCGTGTGAATAGTGTCTGTTGCGTGGCTCAAACGAAATAAAAAATGGCACATGTTTATGCGGATCGGTTTCCCAATCGAGTGCAGCCAACCCCTCGTGCCTTTGTTAATGTAGTACAACGGGCTCGTGAATCAGGTGACTTAAGACCTCACAGGGGACCTCACGATCAAATACAGGTCCGCACTGAAATACTTGTCGGGAGGATACTTTATAAAACAAGGTAAACATTTTTTTTTATTTTTACACACATATTCTGGTTTATATTCCTTCTACAATCATTATCTGAAAATTAATGACTCAACTTCAAAGTCACCCTGTATAGAGAAATACGGATTTGCCAAACTTTCTAGCAGCCAGTTTATAGGTTACCTAAATGTGCAAATTCGCCCCCATTTAACTGAATTCATAACTCTTATTATTTCCGAGATCTCAATGGTGAGAGTCGAATTTGGAACACCCGGTATATCTTATATTTGTCTAAAGCACCATCTGCAAGACACATCCTTTTCAATGTAGATTTCGAATTAGAGTGGAGAGGAGAAACATAGCCATGAAAGATTCTCATGTGTATGACGCTACGGTATCTTATAAATATCACCTCGGACAATTTTTTGGACCCGGGAATATAGTGTTCGGTGTGCTGTCTTCAGGTATAAAAAATCTTATTCAATGAATATATGTATGTTAATCTGGTTTTTGAGAAATTTATCCTTTTCCTTATTTTCGAATATTCATTACATATTTACACTCGTTAACTTCCCTATGGATAGGGCATGAAAAACAATTTCTCGAATGATGAACAATGTTTATGGTGATGAGGTTTATCTAATGGTGCAGGTTAACGGAGTGAGAGTATACGCTTTTTAAAGATTGATGTATTGGCATATTCTCATAATAGTGTATTTATCTGTCGGCTGGTTCATAATCGACTGCCACATTTGGAATCTTAGAGACTGCAAGCGATACGACTATTAAATATGAAGCAAACAGCAAAATTACACATGTATCATATCAGAAGGAAAGCAAGAAAGAAACCGTACCAGAAAAGTAGGACTAGATCTTATAACAAGTACAGTTCAGAGCTAGTTCCGAACTATTTTTTTGTAACAAAGAACTGCTTGTTGTCGTAAACACAACCTTAATTGAAGTTATATTTAAAATTATCAAGATAATGTATATTTTTTTTGACGTACTGTTCATCTTTTTAAAGAAATTGGGAAAACGAGGTAGATGATTTAATAACAGATGAGTAGCTTGATGAAACATTTTAAAAAAGTTATATTTTTTTGGAGATCATGATCATTATCTCCGTAAAATTCAAAATAAGCGGTGGACTGAAGCAAGGAGGCGTGCCCTATACTATTTATCATAGTCATGGACGATGTAATCAAGTCTCTAAAGAGTAAAACAAGAAAAGATGATGTAGGGTTCTATAAAATGAGAACTGTAAGTATAGCAGAGTGTGCCTTTGCGGATGATTTGCTATTATGTGCCAGCAACCCAAAATATTTACAAGATAACCTTAACATCTGGAGTGAAGAGCTAATAAAGAGTAATATGAATATTAACATTTCCAAAACAAAAGTCCTGATAGTCCTAGATAAGGGAAAGAACTTACAATAAGGGGGGAGGAAGATATATAGATCAAGTGCAGGCTTTCAAATACTTGGGAATACAAATACAGAAAGACGAAATAATGGAGGAAGAAATAAAAGAAAGATTACTAAAAGCATCGAACCTGTATCATAGCATAAGAACGTCGTTCATATCGAAAAAAGAAATAAGCAGAAAGACCAAAATGACGGTATATAAAACCATTTTCAGACCTATCCTGACTTTTGGAAGCGAAAGCTGGATGTTGAGCAACCGACAAAGAAGCAAAATGCAAGCAATAGATATGAAATACTTGGGAGCAGTAAAAGGAGTGACTAGGAGAAACAAAATTATGAACAAAATTATACGAAGTGAGTTAGGGGTTAGATCTGTCTTGGAAAAAATTGAGGAAAACCAGTTGAAATGGTTTGGGCATCTAATCCGCATGGAAGAAACTAGACCAGTCAAAAGAATATGGGAGGCTAGAATTATGAAGAAAAGAACTAGAGGGAGACCAAAAAAGACGTGGAATGACGGAATTGCATTGACACTGAAGAACAGAGGACTCAGCTGGACAGAAGCTGTTTGACAGGCCAGGGACAAAAAGACTTGGACAAAATTGGTGCACAACCTTTTTTTTTTTATATCGAAACAGCCGCGCAGGCAGAAGCCTAAATGCCGGAACACCGCGGCTGCTATGATGATCCCAAAGAAATTTTGTTAATACGATTTTTGAACTGCCCAAGGTTAGTAGAACTGGGAAAAGCTTCCTCCCGTAGATTGTTCCACAATCTGGACACCCTCGGGACAAAGGAGCGGTTGTATCGGCCAGTTCTGGATGTACGAAGTTTGACACGGTTAGGATGGGACGCCGAAGTCAGGCGGGTCTGTCTGGCAGGCACATCGCGCGACGGCATCATAGAAGAGAGCTCTGAGGAGCAAAGCCGTTGGTGTAGCGATCGAAAAGAGCTAGATCGCCGACGGCCCGCCGGTGCGAAAGAGTCCCGAGACTGTCTGTTAGAGAAGAGTCATCGATCAGTCGGACCGCCCTCCTCTGGACAGCATCGAGCATGGACAATGTAGTCTGGGCCTTGTATAGAGTGAGAAGGTCATGCGGAGAAAAGTACTTCTTAGCCCTAAACAAATAGCCTAGCTTTTTCCCAGCAGCTGCAGCTATTGAAGAGATGTGTTCGTGCCAGATCAGGTCCTCGGTGATCTGGACTCCGACCAGCCGAAATGAATGGCTCTTGGAACCTTTCAGAACAATGAAAAGACAGTGTAAACATATTGTTATACCTTACACCCATGGGTATATAAGGTTTCAGATATATATGTACAGGGTGGCGCATTGAAAACGAAACAGAAGCATTTACTGGCAGCTTAGTTTTTTTTTTTGGAAACACGCTCAGACCCGTCGATTTTGTTTTCGAAGGGGACACAAGCTTGGCAAAAAATTACGTTAACACGTGCAGCCCCCTGGGTGGGGGTGACACCAACCCTAAAATCTTAAATGGAAAGGGGAGTCGAGAGATACCTTATTTTAAAGGTCTTCCAATTCCCTTTATAATGATGTAAAATACATGAGCTTCAGTTCAGTAGTTTTGAAGATTTATTGATTTAAAGCTTAAAGTAAACTTTAAAAGGTACATCAGATTAGTTTGTACTACTTTCAGAATAAATTTGACTAAAAGAATTTACTTAATAAGTAAATGCTTTTCTTCACTACGGTCATGGTTTGTTGATCATTTTGTTGGTGAAAATAGCTATTGGTGCGTTTTTTGTGGCAAAAAAGTTATTTCTTGAAGAAAGATAAGGAAATGTCTCGTACTTATTTTAAATAGGAATTTAGTACGTAGTTTCCGATTGATTTGACCAAACTTTGTTGCTAAAATAACTTGTAACGCTTTATTATATAAATTAACCATGGTATATTCCACAGCAGAAATAGTTGAAATTATCGAATTTTTTTTCAGAAATAATCAGTGCGCTGATAGAATAGCAGAAATATTTAATGAGCGACATGAGAACAGTAACGTGCATCGAAAATATGTTCTAGAACTTGTAGCTAAATTTCGGGAAACTAGGTCAGTCGCCAATAAAAAACGCAACATTGAAAATCCCATAAGGAACGAAGCAATAGAAGTGGGGGTTTTAGGGCAAGTTTAAGTAGATCCTAAGTTAAGTACCCTCTAATTGGAGACTGTGTGTGGTGTTAGTCGACGTACTGTCCAACGATTTTAAAGGTCCATAGTTTTCATCCGTATAAAATTCACCTGGTACAAGAACTTAATGAAGACGATTTAATCGGCGATTACAATTTTGTGAAGATATGAGTGAACGAATTATAAACGATGAACATTTTCTGTTCCACACTTGCTTTTCCGACGAATGTTCCTTTTTCTTAAATGGCGTATTAAGTCGTCATAACTGCCGATATTGGTCCGATTCTAATCTCAGAATTTATCATGAGGTTCATACACACCAGCCACAAAAATTAAAAGTTTGGGCTGGTATTTTTGGCGATCATTTAGTTGGTCCTTTTTTCTTACCTGGAAATTTGACCGATGAAATGTATTTTGAATTACTGGAAGACACCATAGAACCTGCACTAACAGCCATAATTGGAAATCAGAATGATCGGAGGTACATTGCGAATAGGTTGATGTTCCAACAGGATGGAGCCCCACCACATTACGCATTACGTGTTCGACAATATTTAGGTCAGACATTTCCAGATCGATGGATTGGTAGAAGAGGTGCCACTGAATGGCCCCCAAGATCACCAGATTTATCACCTTTGGATTTTTTTATGCGGGGTCATTTAAAAGGCAAAATCTATGCTACTCAGCCGACATCATTAGAAGACCTGCGACAAAGAATTGTGAATGAGTGCCTTCACATTACTCCTCAAATATTGCAAAATGTGCGGCAACGTTTTGAGCAAAATCTTTATTATTACATGGAGAGTCATGGTGGTCATTTTCAACATTTACTTGCCTAGCGGGTCAGTTCATTCTTCATTTTTAAATTACTTTGCTGCCAAATGTATTGATCTCCACTAATGATGATGTATTAGTTTTATTTAAGCTTTAAATCAATAAATCTTCAAAACTACTGAACTGAAGTACATTAATTTTATATCATTATAAAGGGAATTGAAAGTTACACCGTTAATAGAAAAGACTGATACTGTTATGAAGTGTTAAATTACACCACATGAACGATTATCTGCAACTTTGAGGTTTTTAGTCACGGGGAGAACATATGAAGATCTCAAATTTTCTACATGTATTTCCAAATCCGCTCTCAGTAATATAATTCCTGAAACGTGTGCTGCCATTTACAGTGTATTAAAGCAAGAATATTTAAGAGTAAGTATATTAATTATTTTAGAACAATGCTTTAAGCTATTTTAGAACAATGTTTTAATCAGGGGTAAAATTCGATAAATATTGTGAGACTGTTTGCGAGTCACTGTCAGCTTGTGCCGGTTGTTGAGTGTGGGCTGGTTGCGTATGTTGATAATACGATCCTGTTTGTGAACTTGATTGTATCTGGTGCTGAGAGGATGGTCCTGTTGGTAAAGGAGGCGTCGGCAAAGAAGGCGTGATTTGATGATTATATGATGACCCTGGTTGTAAACACGGTTGTATTTGCTGATTGTATAATGGATGTTGTATATGCAAGGTACAATAACGATTTAGTTCCGAGTTGCGCCTCATGGAAAATATCATTTCTTAGTTTCTCTGCGTGAACTGCTTGTTCCAATGAGCGTAAGCTTGTCGTCAACGTCTGAAGGCATTGTAAAGCGTTTCTGAATTACATCCAGGACTTCATCACATTTGTCGTTTCACCTTTTTACTGCTCTAGATGATGTTTGTGATATTGGCCGGGGTGTAAGTGGTTCAGATATAACTGAATGTGGGGTGGCTAGTTTAGACGAATTATCTTCGAACTGCACTTCATGTGTCTCAGAATTCTAAAACAAAAACTATTAAATCATCTACATATTACGTACAAAAGATACAGTTAGTAGCTATGAACATTGAATTATTTTTTTACAGTTTCCGAAAACTACAGAAGAATGAAAGAAAATTGCACTGGATATTCAAGAAAGATGGGATTTCCTACATTGTTTAGGCACTGTGGATGGCAAACATGTGCAAATTACAGCTTCCGCAGGAAGTGGATCATATTATTTTAATTATAAGAAAACCTTCAGCATAGTTCTAGTGGGAATTGCAAATGCTAATTACGAGTTCATATACTGTGATGTTGGAACCAACGGTCGTGTATCTGATCGAGGGGTCATTGAAAACACGAAATTTATGAAGTATTTGGCAGCAAATAAACTTAATTTGCCAGCACCAGAGACAGTTGTACCCGGTGAACCACCATTGAATTATGTGTTTGTAGGAGACGAAGTATTCGCAATGCGACACGATTTTTTAAAACCGTATAATCAAAGAGAGCTGGACTATCCAAAAAAGGTATTCAACTACCGTTCGAGTAGAGCTAGACGAGTAGTAGAATATGCTTTTGATATTCTGGCTAATCGTTTTAGAGTATTCCATACATATATTAATTTAAAAGTTGATAACATTGACAAAGTTGTTTTGGCATGCTGTGCGCTTCACAATTTTCTACGCAGAAATTCGGTGAATTCATATACACCTAGTGACGTATTTGACGTTGAAGATACGTCTACTGGTGTCATTACCCAGGGACTGCGAACACAGAATCACAGTTTGTTAGATCTTGCAAGCAGTCACAATAGCCATCATGGTACCGAAGCAAAACATGTGAGGAAAAGTTTTTAAATTTATTTCAATAATTCTGGTAATGTTTCATTGCAACATAAAATGATTTCTAACCCAAGTAATTAACGACACTGTTACTAATGTATTCATTTTTTTTGGGGGGGGGGAGGAATTAGAAAATGTAATTTTTGTGATAATGCGTCAAGAGAAATCATTTTTATTTTGAATGTAAATATAAACATCAATTTTATACATTGAAATATGTTTGCCCATTTTAGAAAATCTCTCCAATACTTCTTCCAATGCTACCGCGATGTCATACACTGTGGAAACCTTTTTTGGGAGGATTTTTCTCTAGTCCCCCGTCCCCCCCGTGGATCCACCACTGAATGTATAAATGAATTATTAGGTGAATAAATAAACACAAGAAATTACCTGAGTTTCATTGTCGTCGTCCATATTTGACACAGTGGTTCTTGGACTTTCCTAGTCCCGTAAAAAGCTGAGTAACTCAAAGTACCACAAATGTGGAATGTATACATCGTCGGTGCCTACACCGGACCTTTCTGAATCTAGAACTTTTTTTAACTCTTTCCTGTACGTCGTTCTTAAAGAATTTATTTTCTTTACTACAGTTTCTCGATTTACACTCTCTTCAACTGTGCGCATTTTTTCCACGAGAATATCATACGCCTGAGGCTTAGCATTTCTGTCGCTGTATTGTTTTGATTTCACCTTCGACAGACAAGGAAAAGATTTCTAGACCTCAATAAACTCTACTATGAACTCTTTTTCTTTCTTTGACATTATTTATCACATCAAAATACCGTACAACAGCCGAAAATTAAACCAACGTGCACGTTCTGTTTACTATTATTTACCCACTACGCATGCGTCGAATTGGTTCGTCGTTTACACGTTCATGCATTTGTGCCAACCACATGCAAATTATCTGACCATCCAGAGGTTACTGAAGCCAAACTTTTTGGCTTGTGCAAGTAAACAATTTTCGTTTTAATGTACCAATTTACTTGCACAAATTGGCATGCACAAGTCAATTTGCGCAAATTGCATGAGCATGAAAACGCACCATAAGAGAGGAAAGCGAACATGACAGAGTCCGACAAATATACAAGAATCTACGTACGTCGACAGATCATTCGTTTCCGACTCATTTTCGAATGCTCGAATTTATCAGCCAGCTGTCGAGCTGTCAAAATAATAGCATGAATAAATACAGCCGTTAACAATAATTTTAGTTCTAAGTAGATACTATATTGACTTGTAGTAATCGATAATTTTTAGAAATATAGGGATTTTTGAGTTATAATTTTTTACCTTGGAGGAGAAAAAAAATTGTCTTTGGAGAAATGCGGTAAATATTGGTGACTTTTCAGTAGTAAAAAAAGTATTTTTCCAATGCTCAGTATCTAAAAGGAAAGATGCAAAATATGAGACGATAACCTCAGCAATGTACATCCTCCCTCTGTATTCCATCGGTCCGGATCTTTAGAAACTTCCTTATAGCGATGGCGCAACAGTGACAGGCAAAGCCAAAAAGATTAATGGATTAAATCCCCATATTAGAAGCGAAGTAGAGTCTGTCGTGAGGCTTGAAGGTTGGTATCAGCAGCCTGAGGACAAACAGACGCCATCGGGGATGAGGACAGGGTTTAATTACGAATTCTGACGCTGCCATCACCGCAAGTTGCGCAAAAGGAAACCGGGCAAACATGCCTTTGCAAATGGAGAAAAATGCTGAAGGCGATCACAGGAAACGTAAAGGGACAGAGTACATGGAGATTACAAGTACTGTGTAGAGCAACCTCTCTTAACTTTTTTGTACTGTCATTTTGAATTATGATTTCAAAAAGCCACCGCCCAACTAGCAAGGTAGTGCTGTAAGCGTTTGGTAAAAGAACCGTTCAGCTATAAAAGCTCTCTATTGTTCTTGCCTGAACACCAAAATGCTGGCCTAATGTTGTGTGGAATGCAAATCTGCTTTCTGCAACATATTTCCTGTAAAATGAGGTATTTAAAATATTCTTATAGCATAGTTACACAACACCTTATAGGACAAATTTTTAACTGTTGCATAAACCTTTATACAACTATTTTGTACGGCATATTTGCAGGTTAACCAAAATGGTTGTGTTGTGGCATCCATGGTAACGTTTATAAAACAAACCCGATCCTTGTTGTTTTGCTGTGCAAATTTACTACTTTAGCCAACAAATTGCTCCCAACGGAAGCACTTATACAACTGTTAGTAACTGTTAAAGGCTGTACATATGCTAAATATGTTGGTATACAACTTCACCATAACCTAACTTTCTGCTGTCATATTTTTGTTAAAATGCCATAACCAATGTTTTAAGACAAACAACGCATGCATATTGGTTAAAAAGGTTTTATCAACTGTTCAAACAGAAGATATAGATCTGGTACAAATTCTAGGTAAAACATTCGACTCTGTCGGTATTTCATTTCTGACATTTGTCAAATTGTTGTATAACACCTGCAGGCAACACCAAAGTATTCTAATAAACTAAAGACAACATGGACGATGCCATGATTATACACAATCACCCGCCATATTGGGAAAAAATTTATTCCTCTATTTGATATTAAATAATTATGTTTCAGTTCAAAATTACAGAAATAAAGTGATACACATTAGTGTAATTGTGTCTAAATATAGGATTTGTGGAAGATTTAATGCAGATAAGTTCAGTTTTCCATCTTAAAAATCTAGACATACTTTTGATCATTATCAAAATATGAATCAAATACGAAGCCCGTAGAAATTGCGTAACTACTTTGCCCGATAATCACAATAAAATTTGCTGCGCAATTAATTCAATAGCCCTCAATGTAGAAGTTTATCATATACCTGTGTATGAAATTCACAATGGCCGATATGTAAGTAAACAAGATGACTGTATTGTGTTAGTTATATATTGTTCACTTCGTCTATACAATACATAAGAAATAGTTTGGCTGCAATAAAGTAGAGTCACGTAACAGAATAGTTGTATAGTTGACAAAAACTGAATCTTGCACTGACGCAAATGTCTTATAGCGGCTGCAAGAGGCTTACACTTTTGTTGTATAACTGTTACCTGCAGCCCTTACACAACCTCTTAAATGACTGAAGTGTCCTATTAGGTGTGCCCATTCCGCTTGTATAGCTGTTCTAAGAGGGTTTTGCCAGTGTTCTTACAGTATACAATGCTGTGTAAGGAATACTGTATAATCATTCTTGCAACCCTAATAGGAGTGATAATTGTTAGTTGGGCGAGGTAAACGAACCTTTTGTAAGCCTTCACTACTATAGATCGACCAGCCAAAGATTGCTAGGGACGAAAGGGGGAAATGCGATGAAAAAACCTTACCATTAGACGATTTTATATGGAGTCATAGGCGGAGATCGGAGAGACTTGAATTATTAATTGAATTTATATTTTATTACAACTGGTAGTATTAATATTTTTTTGCGATTCATAATGACGTGATACCAAACATACATTATAAGAAATAAATATACACAAACACTGAATATTGAGAACAAAATAAATATATTTTTTAGGCAACAAGTAATATTCCTATGTACGCATTATGATTGAACAGCAAAACAAATTATGCATTCTTCTAAAATAGAATACAACAAGTCAAAAATATCTGACTGAATAGAAAAATATAGGAAAACAAAAAGTAATTTCTTGATGAAATAACCCATAAACAACACATAGAATTAGACTTTCTACTGAGATACTAAAAGCCACAAACCAATAGTATAATAAATGAATATCTAAAAATTCTAAAAGGTAGCCAATCTAGTATAGTTTCAATCCTGATTAGAGTCATGATCACTGTCTGAGGAACTGTCATTGCTATCACTTTCACCTCCTATGTTGATTATTATTTCTTCCTGTATTTCTTGAATGAGACTGTCTTTTTCCCAATATTCATCTTCAATTTTTATAACATGTCCAATAACCTTTTGCCAGTCACTGGCACTTACTGAAGCGATGGCCTTATTAGAAATTTCATCTAGTTTTTTTATAGTAAATTCGCCGCTTGTATTATGGCTTCTAATGAAAAATTTTACTTGTGCCCAAATCATCTCTATGGGATTAAACTGACACATATAGGGTGGCGTTCGAAGTGGGGTGTGTCCGAAACTTCTTATTAAATTATCTATCTTATAATTTTTCTCATCAGATGGTGGCCTATGTAGACAAGCTATTTCATAAAGCTCCATTTTTTTAGCATTAGGATCATGCTCTATACCTTTTTTGCTCAACCACGTGATGATGTCTCTTTTTAGAGAAGATCTAGTTGGAGGCTTGTCTTCCAAAGCTGAATGGTAAGGTGCATTATCCATTATTATAATACTATTAGGAGGAATGTTAGGAAATAGTTTTTCAGTAAGCCACTTCGTGAAATTTTCTTGGTTCATTTGACCGTGATAATCACCAGTGGCACAGCCAGCCTTGAAAATGAGACAGGCTCCAGGAACAAAACCATCTTGCGAACCCGCATGAACAATTATAAGTCGTCCTGGAAATGAATAAATAGCCTCATTTTAGTGTTATTTTAAGTTTGCCAACACCTTTTTGAATCACTATGTATAAAAAACATATTTTTGAGAAAAAAATACTTGCAAGGGATTATGTATTCAATTAGACAAATTAAATGAGCACTTATTAAGAATATTCCAAAATTGAGAAAAATGTATAATAAGCAAAATCGAGGTGAAAGAAACTTTATTACCTGTAGAACTTATATTGCTCAGGACACCCATAATTTCTTCGCTTTGCCAGCATTTCTTGAAAGTGAGGTCATTATCAACCCAAGTTTCGTCCAAATAAATAATATGCCTTCCTTCTTCCCGGAACTTTTTAATAGACCTAAGATACTTGTATCGCCAATGTAAAATACTGGGTCTTTCCATTAGTAATTTCCTTTTGTTGTGGCATTTACGCCAGTAAAATCCTTTTGCTTTTAAAAGCAGCCTCAACGATTCTTTACCAAATGGA